TTATTATTATTATTATTATTATTATTATTATTATTATTATTATTATTATTTGGATTGTGTGTGAGTATGTATTTACTTTTTTTCCCTGACGGGTGTCTGCTGTATTTTCCTTGGTGTTTTTAACTTCTTTTCAATTAAAAAAAAAAAAAAAAATCCTTTTTTTTTTCATTTTTTCCTGTTATTTATTTTCTATTTTCAAGAAGATATTATAAAGCAAGAAAAATAATTTGATTGATTTCCTTTTGTTTATAAAAGGAGGAAAAAAGAAAGAAACACACAGACAAAGAAAGAAACAGACACCAAAAGTATTATAGAAAGCGAAACAACAAAAAAGAAGAAAAAAAGAAAAAGAATGAAGATTTTGGTTTGTGGAGGGGCGGGATACATCGGAACTCATTTCGTGCGGTCGTTATTACGCCGTACTTCTCATAATGTAATTATACTTGACAGTCTGGATGCAACGCACGGTCGATCGGATCATATTGATACCAAAGAGAATGCCTTGAGAAAAGGACTTCTTACGGAAAAGAAGGAAGGCGTAAGTGGAACCAATGAAGACGGGAAATCGGAGCGTTTTGCCGTACTGGAGGTTGGGGATGTGCGAGATGTAAACTTTTTAAATGATGTTTTCACTCGCCATGCCCCTATTGATGCGGTGGTGCATATGTGTGCCTCTATTGTGGTTCCAGAAAGTGTACGAGACCCATTGTTGTATTATGATAACAACGTTATTGGCATTATTCGACTATTGCAAGTCATGCGGCATCATAAATGTGATAAGATTGTCTTCTCCAGCACAGCAGCACTCTTCGGTAATCCTGCGGCCTTAACGTCAGGAAGTGTGAGCATGGAACCTATTCGTCCAGATGCGAAGAAAAACCCTGAAAGTCCATATGGAGAGACCAAACTGGTAGCTGAATGGCTTCTGAAGGACTGTGCACAGGCGTATGGAATTAAGAGTGTTTGTTTGCGTTACTTCAACGCCTGTGGAGCCGACGAGGATGGTGATATTGGCGAAGATCATGAACCCGAAACGCACCTCATTCCTCTCATTCTCCGCGTGCCACTGGCGGAGGAAATCAACAAACGCCGACGCGAACGACAATTGCCGCCTGTGCAGGACTTTGTCTCTATCTTCGGAACGGACTATCCCACACCCGATGGGACGTGCGTGCGGGACTACGTGCATGTCTACGATCTCGCCACGGCGCATTTGTGTGCGTTGGACTTCTTGGCCAAACTCGGCCCGGACGACAAGTCGCGGTTCTTCTCGGCCTTCAATCTCGGCACCTCGCACGGCTATTCCGTGCGGGAAGTCATCGACGCCGCCCGCCGCGTGACGGGCCATCCGATTCCCGTGAAGGAGTGCGAGCGGCGACTGGGCGACCCGCCGGTGTTGGTGGCCTCCGGGGCCGAGGCGGCGTCGGTGCTCGGCTGGCAGCTCAAGTACGACAACATTGACAAGATCATCGCCTCCGCGTGGAGGTTCCATCAGGCACATCCTACAGGGTATACATCCTAGCCCAACAGCTTCTAGGAAGATCTGTTTTTATTATTATTATTATTATTACTAATATGATGATTATTAATATGATTATCTTTTTTTTTTTTTTGTGGCTGAACCCTGTCCCCTTCCAGGGTGAAGCTCGTTCTTGCACAATACATGTGCGTATCAAAAAGAAAATTTTAATGCTAAAAAAAAAAAAAAAAAAAAAAAAAAAAAAAAAAAAACGTTGAAGCGGGAAAATAGGGGGCTGGAGAGAAAGTAAGAGACACCTTGTCATTGTTGGTGGTGTTGATGGTCGAGATACAATGCACGTCATTTAAAGTGATAATAATGAGGTTACTGATGAGAATGTACATCACTACTTTACTTTACGTACCTTGCCGGAAAAACAAAAATCTTTTTTAATTGTTTTCTTCTCTTTTTCTTTTTCCTACCATATATATATATATATAAGTGTAACAACGAAGCGCTCACTACTGTTGAGAGTTGTAGGAGTAGAGTGCTTGTATTTGTTAATGTCTGTTGTGTTAGTGGTGATTGTGACGATATAAAGAAAATAGATATTATTATTATTATTATTATTATTATTATTATTATTATTAGTGTAGCAAAAATGCTAATGATGAGAATGAGGGAAACATCACTGAGAACTCCTACTCGAGCTTCATTGCGTATTTTAAATCTCCTGCACATACCAAATCATATACACATAGATGGACCATACACTGCCCTGTTAAGTGTACGACGTACACTGAAACACCGTTCCTTATCTCCTAATGATCCCTTTGGTGAAGTTGCCTCTTCTAAAGATCCTTCAGATGGTTTTTATAGTGCCTGGAGTAATGTAGACATGGATGCCTTTGCGAATGCAGCGGCAAGTGAAGAGATACGCACAGCCCACTTTGGACCAGAGTGGTCTAGGTTTACTACAATAGGACGACTCTCGGTAAAGAAAATGCAAAAAGAGGGAAATGTGAAGGAAAAAGATACATTAGATGAAGGAACACTAACAAGGTCTCTCACTATGGAGGAACTCCACTCATCTGAATTAGAGGCACGAAGGAAATTATTTGAGAAGAACTATACAAGTTATGAAGAGTATGTGGAAAAGGAACTGAGTAGCAGTAATATGGATGATAACAACAACAACAACAACAAGAGGAATGATAATAATAATAATAATAATAATAATAATAATAATAATAATAATAATAATAATTATCACAATAGCAATAATAATAATAATAACAACAGTCAAAGAGACCATGAAATGGAAGACTCTACAGATGCCATAATGGATGTGGAAAATGAATATTCCATGCCGCTTCCACGATTTCTAACAGAAGAAAAAAAACACATGCAAACATCAAATCATTCAGAATTACCAATAACGTCGAGTAATATTTCAGTTTCAAATCGTCGTGAGATCTCGCAGGTACCAGAGTCCTTGATGTGTGTTATTCTTAATGCCTTGGGTGATCCCCATGGGGATCCACAACTCCCACGAACAGATCCATTACATTGGAGTACAGATGATATTATTCTCTGGTTAACAAAGATGGAAAAAAAACAATTAGACATGACATCAGCCTCTACTACAGGCGTGAGAGAGAGTTTGGCAATGGAGGATGTATGTATGCAGGAGGCATTCCGCATGGTTCAGATCAACGGGGAGTTCTTACTGCAGCACACGATGCCAAGCACAATGTTTCAAGTAATGCGGCGATGGTATTTACGTCGACAAGAAATTGGTTTGAATATTTTAAAACAAAAACAAAATTTGCAAAACAATAATAATAATGATTATAATTCTATCGAACATACAAAAAACAATAGAAATGTAAACTATTGTGTTGATATTGTTTCGGAAAGTGTTCTTGTGAATAAGGCTGTTGAAGAGGGTAGAGCTAAGCTTGATGAGACTATATTACGCATTACACCTTTGCTTATTCAAGAAACCATATCGCAATGCTATCCATACTGCCGTTAAGTAAAAGTATATATATATATATATATATATATATATTCTTTTTTATTTCTTCTGAAGGGTCTATGGGAAAAAAAAAAATATATAGGGGAATTGAAAAAAAAAAAAAAACTGTTTCGTTTCCTCTTATCGTTAGATACAAAAATTGTTGATAATTAGAAAGGAAGATTTCTGATGATTGAAATTCTTTGTGAATAAAAGATAATTTTCCTTATACCTCTTCTCTCAATAATTATTATTTCTTTTTTTTTTCCTTTCTTTTTTGTAAAGTATATCCATAATAATAGATAGAGAGATATGAGTGACTCTCCAACTCCGTGGGAGCACATAAATCGCTTCTACCAGACAACCCGTAAACCCATTCAGTTGTTTGTGGCCTATCACGCCGATGCGGCCGCCGCATCTCTTACACTGACTTCTCTCTTAAAGGCCTGTTTTATTCCTTTTAACCTCCATCCTATCTTTGAATATGCAGAGGCGAGAGAGGTGATTCAACGTACAAGCCAGGCGCAGGATACAGAGAGACTCAGTGATGATGAGCCGCCTGTGGATGAACTCTTTGTTCTCATTGGTCTCGGTGCCCCAGTGGCATTGCGATCTTTCTTTGATCTCCAACGACACATTGTAGTGGTATTAGACTCCTATCGACCATTCCTTCTGGACAATCTTCGCGCAGATGATAATACACGACTCATAGTCTGGGGACGCGAACGTATTCACGAGGAAGTTGATAACTTCTTTCGTGATCAACAACGGCGAGAACGTCGTCGACGTCGACGTCGTCAAACACGCAGAGAACGACGTCGTTTACGTGCATATGGAAATAGTGATGCAGATAAGGATGAGGATGATGATGATGATGGGAGTGAGTATAGCAGCGACGGTAGTGACACTAGTGATGATGATGATGATATGGAGGAAGATGAGAATGAAATGACCCCTTCGCAAAGTCAAGAACGACTTGATTGGATGAATGAAGGAGTTCCAGAGTTTTTAGAACAAATGTATTATGCTGCGGAGTGCGGTGGAAAGAGTTGCGCACTTGAAGTATATGATTTAGCGATTCTTCTCAATCGTGTGAAGGAGCCAGTGTTGTGGCATGCGGCTGTAGGCGTTTGTGATCTCTTTACTAGACGTCTCATTGACTATGGAACTTATTTAGTAGAGATGCGACGTTTACATAATGAAGTCACCCTTCGAAAAGGCATTCGTCGTGGTCCATTAGATGATGTCACGGATGAGAATATTAATCGATTTCACAAGGTTGCCGCCTCTACTAATACAATGCAGCTTGTGAACTTTGATGAGGATCAACTTTTCCTTTTACGTCACTTCTCACTATGGGGAGCGATGTGGTATCATCCCGTAGTGGCGAGTCTCTTAAGTCTACACCACGTGGAGGATGGAGTGGGTACACTGCGGCAGCTGTTAGCACGCTGTGGGGTCTCGGCAAAGTTAGCCCAACAACCCTGGCGGGAAGTGCCGGATGATGTGAAGATAGAATCACAGAGACTTGTCCATCAGGAACTGAAACAATTACTGCGAACACGAGGGAGTTTTATTAGAAGTCCTACACAAATTCGTTGTGTGGCACGAACGGCGGGATATAGTGTGGAAGTGTCTACCTTTGATGTCTGTACACTCTTTACAGCCTTTCTTGCGGCTGTACCACCAAGTAATATCTTTATTGAGGAAGAGGAAGGCGAGAGAGAAAGAGGGAATAGAAGTGAAATATCATCTGTACAAGATAAGTTACGTGAATTCCGCCGAGAACAGTTCTGGCGTGCACATGATATCATTGATGCCGATCCAAATTGTAGAGCTTTTACAGCCGCCGTGCAGGAAGCGCAATCTCTACAAGAGTCCGTCGCCGCCGCTACGAGTGCATTGATGCAGCCGGGAATGATTCAAAGCACAAAAGGCATTCATTACGCAAAGCCAAGTGATCCCACAAATGCCTCCACCGCATTAGAAACATTCGGTTCACCCTTTCGACTAGCGGTATTAACAGAACGACTCTTGTATACATTAACAGTGGAGAGAGGATTGGGTAAATACACACGAGAGGTTCGCCCGGTACTTCTCTCCTGTCCTCTACCGCGGACCATCACCGCAGCCGCACAGCGGCAACAGGAACAACAACAACAACAACAGGAGCGACAACAATTATTGGCACAAACAGAAGAATCATTTGTGGTGGTGTTTGGCCATGAAGGTCCAACAACGGCTGGATTATCTCCACTTGTGCCTGTGGCCCACTGGAATGATTGTGTGACGAACACAGAAGATTTTCTCGTGCCGCCGCTGCGGGATTATGTGCGGCGTGATGTTGTGATTGTGGAGGGCCGCGAGTCCACGGCACACTTGGCAGAGATGTTGCATCTCCGCTCTTTAGCAGGGGGACTGTAGAGAAGAAGGAATCCACCATTTCACACGTACATACAGACATATATATACACAGAGGAAGAAAAAGGATATATATATATATATATGCTGTGTTTCTAGAGTGTGAATTGACTCATGGGATTACGGTGAAGCGATGGAGAGAGGTAGGTAGAGAGAGAGAGAGAGGCTCATCCTTTAGAAATTAAAAAAAAAAAAAACATAAATAATAAAAGAACCATAATAAGAAGGGTAAACACTCTTTTAGTGCATATAAACAAGTATAAAGAGAAAAAGGTAAAGAGTTTGTTTGTGTACGAATACCATAGATGCTCCTTTCTCAAAGAGACGTTTGTTTCTTTTTTTTTTTTCTTTTTTTCTTCCTTTTCTTTGTTGTTTATACAGTTATTTCTCCAACGGAGCTGAAGATCCATAGAGGGGAATGACGTTTCTGCGTATAGAGAGTTTCCAGAAAAGAAAAAATTCTTATGAACATTAATTCTTTTTTTTTTTTTCTTCTTAACTCCCTCATCTTTATATTTCACTGTTTTTTTTTTTGTTTATTATTTTGGAGACAGTAGTGTGTAAATGTGGCTGAATAGAAAATATAAATAAATAAATATTTACCCCTGTTTACATATCAATCTCTTTCTGTGTGTGTATTTATTTATTTAACGAGTTTTTTTTCTTTAAATTCCTTCTTATGATCACACTACATATGTTTGACGCTTTTGTCTATAGCCATGTTTGTATATATATATATATATATAAATATGTAAATGTACGACTGTGAATATCGTTTTATTATTATTATTTATTTATTTTCTTTTTTTTTCCCCTTTTTTTTTATTTTCTGCAAGTGCTGGTTTGGGGGTCTTCATTTCTGTTACACCTAACGAGCGATCACATTATTCTCATTATTAGTAGTGCTTTCTTCTCTGATTTTGTAGGGATTTAAACCAAGTGTGATCACTGGCCAAAAAAAAAAGAAGAAAAAAGACACCGTTTCTGTCGTTAACTTTTTACGTTATTTCGATTAGTTTATTCGTTACTTCTTTTTTTTTTTTCTTAGTTATTCCTTTGTTATTGTGGAGATTCTCGTTGTTAGTATTATTGTTATTCTTTGTATCGCATTTATTTAGATCCGTATTCGTCTGTTCATTACACCTACTTTTCCCTCCACTACTGTATGGAAGATGACAGACACGACTGCACTGCCAATGCGGTCCACCGCCTCGTGTTTGCAGGGATTTACGGAACATCGGTCCATCGTTGTTGGGCCAAACCGCAGTAGAAGTAGAAGTAGTAGTATTACTAACGGCAATACCAGCAATATCAATAACAACTATTCTAATAATAATAATAATAATAATAATAATATTCATAATAACAACAATGACAACAACACTGGCATGGGTTTGATGGGGACAACAGAGAGTCGTTCATTTCGTGTGCGAGTGGCGCAGTCTGCCACGACTAATAGTAATAATAATAATAATAATAATAGACCGTTCAACACACCGACCAAACAACCATCGCGGGGTTTATTAGAAGAAACAGATGTGTTGAACTACCGTAGAGGCGGTTCTATTCCACACGAGCTGCAAGAACCACGCATAGATGGAGAAGACTCCTCTTATGCCCGTGTCCGTCAATCACTAGAGACAACACTGCGGGATCGTGAAAAGGAACTGGCGGCGGCCCTCCAGCGTGAGAAGACACTCATCAGTCGATTACGGGTTTCAGAGGAGACACGGGTGTTGTATCAACTCTACACCCAACGACTGCTGGAGTTATTGCGAGTGCAGGAGTGGAGTCATCCACTGCCGTTTGTGAAGAATAGTGAAGTGATTGATGCCCTCCGTGAGGCCATACACTCTGGAGAGATTGTTATGATGAGTGAAGACTCTACACACACACAGGAGAGTAATACAGATGGTACGATATCCACAAGCATGTTGACATCATCTCCTTCCACACCCGCTTCATCTATACAGTTAACAAATGCCACACTACTCACATCCGCCATGTTGGAATCTAAAGTAACGAATTGTCTTTTACACTTAAAACGAGAGAAAGTAAGACGACAGGAAAGTATGATGCAAACACTTCAAACAGCATCCAATACATTTGTTGAGGAAATGGAGGCGAAACTCGCTGTTCTCTCAAGTGCACTTCGTCAAGTTGAACAACGAGTTGGGGAACACGTGGCGACCACAACAGTTACTCTTCAACGGCATGTGCGGAATACACAAAACAATGGATTATGTATAGAACAACAACAAGAGGAATTACGGCGATTGAAACAAGAGTGTGTGCGATACCAGCGAGAACAACAACGCACACAAGGAGAGATGACAGCATTAAAGGATGAACTCGCACGTTTAGATGGTGATCGTGAGGCGGCGTTAATTATGCACCGCGCCGCGGAGTGTTTAGAAGATGTTCGGCAGAGTGTACGGAATGCCGTGCGGGGGGCGGCCCACTCAATTGAACAGTCCACATTAGAGAGTAATACACTAAAGGAACCGTTTATACAATCTATGCGTGTCATTGCGGTGAAGGTGGAGGCACATGCAGATATGGCACGAACAGCTGTAAGGCGTTGGCAACAAGAATACCATATTAATAATAATAATAATAATAATAATAATAATAATATTAATAATAATATTAATTATAATAATAATAATGTACGAGAGGCATTTCGCACGGATGTGGATATGGATGCTGTTCACCGTTTATTACTGAGTCCCCCACGACGGGTGACTCGCAGTTGTGAACAATCATCACTACTACCGAGAGACGATAATGTGGGGAATTCGAATCTCATGATGTTGGAGGAACTCGCACGGGTGATGAAGAACTTATGTCGACTATTAGAGAATAACGCACGTCAAATGGAGACAAATACCGCAAAAGTAACAAAGAGTATAGCGGATTGGGAAAAGGCCATTGTAAAGCAAATGACGGATATTTGGGAATGTATGCGGGCGGGGCTTCTCGAACACGGTGTGATTCCCCCAACCTCCACACAACACCGTCAACTCTGCGGAGAGGCCCCATTGGCGCTTGGCGATCATCACTACACCGATGGGAGTACCACCGCCGCTTCTACACACATTCATCACATCAACAGTAGTAGTAATAGTCACAGTGATAACAACACCAGCACGAATATCAACATCAACCACAACCAACATCATAACAGCAGTAATAGCAACAATAATAACAATACCAATCGTGGATCTGTATTACCGCTTTCACAGACAAACTATACCAACAATACTACTACTACTACTACTACTACTACAGTTGCGGCTCCCCCATCAAAAGTCATCATGGGTCGCAATGGAAGTATAAGCACATCCTGTGGCCATACACACTCCATGAGTGGAGTTCCATCATACTCCAGTTCAACCAATGCAAGTAGAGCCACAAGTGCAATGACGTCGTCTGCGGCTCCATCGTGGAATCTTCCATCTGCAGTTTTGTGTGAAGTGGAGCGAACACCCGATTCACGTTCACACCGTGATAAAGATTTTCTCTCACCACCATCCATCAACGTCTCACGGGCACCAACACCACCACCACCATCATTCCAATCGCAAGGTCTGCGAACGGCGACTAATCTCTTTCAGCATCAGCAGCAAGACCGTATTGTGGATATTTCTCCATGCAAAATTCCATCATCTGGGAATGGATTGTCAACAGTACCAAGACTGCATTACACAAGAGAAATAGAGAATCTGGAAAGTAATAGTGCACGTAGCGTCTCTGGGGCTATTCTTCCACGCCGTACACAGACCTTTTCTTAGATACATTTGTAAGAGAAAAAAAAATCTTTTTTTTTTTTTTTCTCGCAAGAGGAGCATAAATCTTTTTTTTTTCTTCTTCTATCCATCTTTTGTTTTTTTGTTCTTCTTCTGATTTGTGGTAAAGAATAGAATAAAGAAGAAAGAATTTGGATGGGCATTTATTTCGGTATGGAATATATTAATCCAAACATTAGATTATTTTTCTCTTTTCTCTCTTGTGAGAACAACTTTTTTTTACTTTTGGTGCTTTCGTTTTTTTTTATTAGACTGATGTGCATACCTCCTGTTTTTTTCTTTTGTTGTCATTGGCTCTTTGCTATTATTTTGCGTCTGATAGTGGCGTTCTTTTTTTTTTGTGTGTGTACATGTGAAGTCTGGCTTTGAGAAGCGATTTGTGTAATTCTTGTTGCTGTTGCGGTAACGATCTCTTGATCTTGATATCTCTCTAGCAATAAATATTTGTAATTATATAATTATATATATATATATATATATATATATTTCTCTTTTTGCTATTCTTGTTATTTCCCTTTCTTGTTATTATTGTTATTATTATCATTATTATTGGAACTGTTATTTCCATTATCTCTGCAGTTGTACCAACAAAGGGATATTTGCACCTCACCGCCTCGCCAAGAGAATTAGTTCCACCACAGTACAAAAGGACAGTTAGAGAGAAAGAGAGAGAGAAACCCTAGAGAGGTATACGACGGCAAGTAATAGAAAAAGAGAAACCAACATAATATATATAATAATATTAATAATAATAATCATCATCATCAGAGAATAAGAGCAACCATAGTAAAAAGAAACAAACAAACAAACAACAACAACAAAAAAAAAAAAAACATGTCGCAGGAAAACAGTCAGATGAGCACAGGATTATCTCTCTGCTCTCCAATGGAAGAGTCTCCAATCGGTGGAGTACGTGAGTCCACTTCCTTTGCAGATCTCATACGTGCACGAGAGCAACAACAGCAACGAATACGCGATGCATTAGAGCAGCAGAACCGTCAGTTGCGTGCACGTCTGGCGTGTGAGGAACCCCTTCCATTAACAGCAACCTCCACAATATCCACAACAACAATAACAACACCCCCATCCGCTGCCCATCGTCGTTCAAACCACACACCAATCAAACAACAAGTAGTGCCAGTGGAGGAATTCATCACCTTTGTTACTGAGATGAAGGAACTCATCAACTGCGCGCAGCAGGCGGATTTGGTGGCTCTGCAGGCACTGCAGGATCGTGTGGAGTTTCAGAATCGAGATCTCGTGCAGCGCCTCACTGAACTGGAGGCGTATATGATTGCAGCTCAACGACGGGATATGATGAACAGTGCGGGTGCTGCTGCTGCTGCTGTGATGACATCTAGTGATGATAGTGGAGTGCAGAATACACAGAATGGTGTAAATGCGAAAGAAGAACACAATTCATTGGATTACGTGATGAGAGAAATGGAAAATATACGTTTAACAGCAGAAGAGGCGATGATGCGAGTATGTCAATGTGATGAAGTGATGGCCAAACAACAGGCAGCAATGTCTCTCTTGGAGAAGGACTTGAATACATTAGAAGAGAAGATCATAGATGTGGAATCCATGCCAACACTGTTTAGACGAGAAGCAACTGCACTTGAGGAACGTCATACTTCTTTCACATATCGAATACAAGAGGAAATTACACAACTGCAGCAGAAGTGGAAAGAGGAACAATTAACAGAAGTTGTAGGGAATCAAATACGGCAACTGGAAGAACAAATGCAAAACCTCATCTCCACAATGATGACAAGAGAGAAGGAGAATGTGGAAGTCTCAAATGATTTCAAAAACAAGGACATGGTTCAACACATCACAGATGATGTTCGTGAAAAAATGCAAAAACTTCTCTACACAGTTGAATCTTCACTTACTAAAAAAATAGAGGAATTGGATGCTAGAATGGATATCTGCGTTTCAGACTGCAAGAAAAATTCAGAGTTAGCAGTGATAAACCTCACATGTAAAGAAGAAGATTCAAACAATACTGTTGCAAACCCCATGTTGAATTCTCAATCTATAAATATGATGGAATTATCAGAGAGACTAGAGAAACTTGAAATGACAGTAAATACGGCGATATTGCAAACAAACACTATGCCAGCTAATGAAGAATGTAATGAACGCATTGCATTATTGACAAAAGAAGTAGAAGGAGCTGCTGCTCTTATTGAAAGTGTTATAGCACGCCAGGCAACTGCTAGTGGTGATAAACTCATACTAGACACGGTACAATTGGATGAACGTGTATCTCGTCTAGAAACACAGTTACAGGTGGTACAAGAATATGTTAATGATATCACAAATAAAGTTCAAGATACACCTAAAGTGATATCAGGCGATACTAATAATAATAATAATAATAATAATAATAATAATAATAATAATAATATTGCTGGTGTTGTTGTTAGTGCTACGGAAACCGATGGTAATCATCATAAAGATAATGGGAATACGAATAACGGTGAAAGTGAGAATGGTAAACCGACAGTACTCCCGGAAAGTCGCTGGCAACAAGATCGAATTCATCGCCATTTACAGGAGGAATTGGAACTCGCATCTGCAGATCTTCGTGCACAAGCGATAGAACAATTTAGAATGACATACAATATTCCTCTCTCAGCATCCACAGCAGCAGCAGCGGAGGGAAATACACTTAACGAAGATAGTCCTTCCTTTTTCACAATGCCTCCACCTCCACCTCCACCTCCACCGTACGAAACCCCAATGTTTGCTGTTCCCCGCAGTGTAGGCCCCAACAGAGAGTCGCGATTACAGTCATCACGACCAGGCACACAATCATTTGGACCGTACAAGGCACCTCCTGTGCCCATCTCAGCAGAGAGTTTAGCAAAAGCACTAACAGAGACGCGTGAGCGGAAATTGCAGAAGGAGGAGGCCGTAGTGAAAGTTATTGAATCCCTGCGTGAGGTGCAACGCCGGTTTGAAGATTTATCAGCGCGGGAGATGAGTGTACCATCTAGTGGCCGTCGTGCAAATAAAAGTGAACAGTCCACATCCCCTCACACAAGTGAGGACTCGGCTGCTTTGCTAGAGTTTATTGTGAGTCAAAAGGAAGCTGTGCTGAGAAAGGAGCGAACATTGTTGGATTTGCGAAATACATTGTGGCGAGAAATTGCACAGCTTGAGGAAGATGAACGGGAACTTCTCTTCACAACCCCTTCCTTTTAAACAAGAGACCTTGAATTAAGAGAGTGTATGTCTTTAATATTTCTTGATCTCTGTCTTATAATTATTATAATTGTTATTATTGTTTAAAGATCTATCGTCAGTGTATTCTATTGATGGTGCAAAGTTTTTTTTTTTTTTTTTTTTTGCATTCAGAGTATTTAACTATTGGGTGAGAGGACAGTGAGCCCTTCTTTACCCTCCCCCACCTCTCCCTCTACTTGTACCTTTCTTTAGTATTATCGTTATTGAGTATTATTGTTATTATTTCATTACTCTATATATTTATTTATATCTATCTGTCTAATAATGAGAATATTTCACTCGAAAGTGCTGTATTTGTATTTGTTATCGTTTTTCATTGTTTTTTGTTTTGTGTGATACCCATTCATTGACATAATCGTTTTATTATTATTTTTTTCTTTCTTTTGTTCTTCTGACTTTACTTTCTTGCTGTTGTGCTTTCAACTTTATTTTATTTTTGTTTTTGTACTTGTACTTATTCCTCTTTTTTCCCCACCCACTTTTGTTTACTTTCTATGATGTGTGTGTTTACTTATATCAACTCCATATGTAGAGTTTTTAAAATTGCGCGAATTAGTGAAATACTGTGATATATCCTCTTAAGAAAAGAGGACCGAACGAAATAATCTTCCTATAAGCAGCACTCTATATATTTATATACGCTCACGGACACTTAAACGCGAAGAAACAAACAAACAAACAAAAAAAAAAAAAACACAAACACCTCCAGGTGAGATTTAAAAACAATAGTGAATTACTAAATTAAGTAAAAAAAAAAAGGGAAATTAACATCACTTTTACTTATTATTTTTAAACAAAAAGATGATGCGCCGTACTTTTTTCACTCTGGCAGGCCTAGACAAGGTTATGTCTCTTTCCAAGGCTGTGGACGATATTAAGAGTGGAGCCAGTCTCGCTGTTGGTGGCTTTGGCACCTCCGGCATGCCGCACGCCGTACTGAAGGAGATCAAGGCCCGCGGTGTGCGTGATCTCAGCATTTACAGTGATGGTGCGGGTGTGGACGGCTACGGTATTGGTGTTCTCTTCGAGGACAAGCAGATCCGCAAGATGATTGTCAGTTACGTCGGTAACAACAAGATCTTCACCAAGCAGTACTTGGCGGGTGATGTGGAACTCGAGTTCTGCCCGCAGGGTTCTCTCGCCGAGCGTATGCGGGCCGGCGGTGCGGGCATTCCCGCCTTTTACACCGCCACCGGCTTCGGCACACTCGCGCAGACGGGCGGTCAAATCACAAAGTACAACGCCGATGGCTCCGCCGCCAGTGAATCGCAGCCAAAGGAGACACGATTGATTGATGGTCGCTGGTATGTGCTCGAGCGGGCCATTCGCACCGAGTTCTCACTTGTGAAGGCGTGGAAGGCAGACCGCAGCGGAAATCTCGTCTTCCGCGGAACTGCACGGAACTTCAATGTTCCCGTTGGACAGTGCGGTCGCGTTGTGATTGCAGAGGCGGAGAATCTTGTGGAGAATGGCGAACTCGACCCGAATGAGGTGCATCTCCCAAGCGTCTACGTGGATCGTGTGGTGGTGCCAGAGCGCTACCAGACACTTATTGAGAAGCGCACCATCACTCCAAAGGGCGGTGTGGCGAAGATTGCGGCCGCCACAACACCGGAAGAACAGGCACGTCAACGTATTGCTCGCCGCGCGGCACTTGAGTTTGCGGATGGCATGTATGTGAATCTTGGTATTGGTATCCCAACCGAGTCGGCGAACTACATCCCACAGGGTGTGAATGTCGTCCTGCAGTCGGAGAATGGACTTATTGGTATGGGTCCATTCCCAGAGGAGGATAAGGTGGATGCGGACTGGATTAACGCCGGCAAGCAGACCATCTCGTATCTCCCGGGTGCTGCGCTCTTCGACAGCGCCACCTCATTCGCTATGATCCGCGGTGGACACATGAACATCACCATGTTGGGCGCCCTTGAGGTTGGCGCCAATGGCGATCTCGCCAACTTTATGATTCCCGGCAAACTGGTGAAGGGCCCTGGTGGGGCGATGGATCTCGTCTCCAGCGGCACACGTGTGGTCGTCACTACAATGCACTGCAATAAGAAGGGTACATCGAAGATTGTCGAACGCTGTCAACTCCCCGTAACCGGCAAGGGTTGTGTCAATCGCATTATCACTGAACACGCCGTGTTTGATGTGGAGAAGGGACAACTGGTGCTGAAGGAAGTGGCAGAGGGCACAACAGTCGAGCAGGTGCGCAAGATGACGGCCGCCAGCTTCATTGCCGGTGATGTGAAGACAATGCCATTGGCTCCACTTCCGGAAGCTTGAAACTGTAAATAAACGCAATAAACAAAGTGGATGAAAAGTGGAAGAAAAAAGTAAAAAAAAAAAAATAGGTTTCATAGGATATAACACCTTAACATTATTCCAATAGACTTTAATATATATATATATATATATATATATATGAGTTGATCTGTTGCTGTACCACTTGTTCTATTTTTTTTTTGTTGTTCTTTCTTCCTTTTTCTTGTTGTTGTTTAAATAGTTTGGGGTACGCCGTATACGGTGAAGCCGGACTTCTTTTACTGATCACGCTCATTTCTTTCTTCTCTCTTTTTTGTTTTTATCTGGTTGTTTTTGTACTGTTACGTTTGTATTGCACCAGTCAGGGCAATGCATATGTACAGATGTACTTCTGTGCGTGTGTAAAGGTCTACTTCCTTTTTCGTTTGTTTGTTTGTTTGTTTGTTTGCTTGTTTTTGTTGCGTTGTCTGTATTTCTCTACACGTAATGCGTAAGCATGTAGAGGTGTTGGTAGATAGATAGCCAGCATAAGCACCTTCCTTTCCCATATCTATCTATCTATATATATATCTAGATAAAGAATGGTGAAGGAGGCAATCACAATGAGGAAAGAAAACAAAACTTAATACAATGAAGCCGCGTTTCACATGAGTGTAAGTGGTAATCAACGTGAGTATTCATGTAAGCTGAGAAAAGAAATAAAAAAAAAAGAGAAATGAAAGGAAGAAAAAAAGAAAAAACAAAAGAGACATACAGTAATAATAGTATGAAATGCAAGAATTAAAAAGAAAAGAACTGATAGTTATGATGTTTTTCTCTTTGATTTCTGCTTTGTTTTTTTCTTTTTCCTATTAGATCCAGAAATAGATGAGTATGAAAGGAGATAATAATAAGCCGCTCTTATATCTTCTTACAGTACATCTATGGTTTTCTTGCAGTTTTCTTCTTCTCTACTTTTATTCTCGTAGAGGGGTGTAGGTGAACTGAAGAGACATTCCTACTCTTCTTTTTTTCTCTACAGCCTGATGAAACTGGCAAGAGTGACGTTTTTTTTTTTTTTTTTTTTTTTTTTTT